ATGGAAAACTATTGAAACAAAGGCGACACCCATTCCTGTACAGGCAATTCTGGCAGATGCAAATCTACAAGGTTTCATGACACGGTGGCTCAGTTGGTAGAGCTGACGCCTCTCAGCAAGAAGGTCACCGCTTCAAATCCCGGTCCAGGGACCTTTCTGGGTAGAGTTTGCATGTTCTCTCCGTGCATGCGTGGGTTCTCTCCGGGCACTCCGGCTTCCTCCCACAGACCAAAAACATGACTGTTAGGTTAATTGATAACTCTAAATTGTCCCTAGGTGTGAGTGAGAGAGTGAATGTTGTTTGTCTCGTTTGTCTCTATGTGTCCCTGTGATGGACTGAGACCTGTCCAGGGTGTACCCCGCCCCTCACACTGTGACTGCTGGATATGGACACCAGTGACCCCTGTGACCCTGAAAGGAAGAAGTGGGTATAGATGATGAATTATTAATAATAAATGTAGAAAAAACGCCCATTTCACCTCACTTCGTCTTGTTCCTGTTTGACCTTTGACCTGGTCAAACTCTGTTTCCATCCTGACAAGAGACTGAAGTCCTGGTTAAAATATGTCCCTTTTCTGAAGTGAGGTGAAATATGGGCGTATTTACTACATAAATGTCCAGTTAATAGGATGACACAATGGGCTTAGTAATCTCACATGAAGAAGGTGTGGGATTTAAACCTGGACCTGGGGTCTTTCTGTGTGGAGTTCACATGCTCCCCTCATGTTTGTGGTGGGGAGCTGGAGGGGGTTTCTCCTGAGTGGTAAGCTTCCTTCAGGCTCCTCCCATTAAAACCATCAGTAATTTGTTCAATCAATCAGTCTGTTTTGTGTTCGTGTCAGATTGAAAACTGTAACTATGCTGTGGAGCTGGGAAAGAAGAAAGCAGGGTTTTCTCTGGTGGGGATCGGGGGTCAGGACCTGTACGATGGAAAGGAGACCCTGACCCTGGCTCTGGTGTGGCAGCTGATGAGGAGGTGAGTTAAACMTCATGTTCTTACTGTGAACTGTGGAAAACAGAATAATGTTTACAAACTGAAGCTGTGGGGTTCAGTGCTGGACAAATGTTTCAAATTCAAACAGAAATGTTGGGACAATGAGTTCAGGATGTGGTCTGAGTGTGATCTGCTGGGTCTTCTGGTTCCTTCAGGAGCGGCACCAGTTTTCAGGTAAATGGTTCATGCAGTCAGCTGGGTCTAAAGATTCAGGACTGAACCGAGTCCAGCTTGAAGTTTTCCACACATCCTGTGTTAGAAGCTGCTAACGGTCTAAAGCCCTTCAGAAACATTTACAGTATCTGATGGACTTGGTCTCAGTGGGTTAAATAAATGTTTTGGTCCTGTAATGATGTATTTGTCTGGCTCCTCTCACTGGGTTTCAACAAGTCTCATTTAAATAAGAGGACATTTCTGTCCATCTCACCTGTAACTTTAGAGAAACCTGTGTTAAAAGACCTAAATGAATTTTTTTATTCTATGAAACTTAACGTTTAGGTCTTAACAGTTCCTTCAGAAATGTCTGATAATATAAATCCATACCTGAATTGGATGAAAGGACTTGTTTTTGGAGCACATTTAGAAGGTTGGTCTGGTCATGAAGGCAACAGGTCCAGGAGACAACCAGACACGTCTCTGCAGTGGAGCACTCCAACTTCATCTGAACGACACCAAGGTGGTRCCTGACCACAGCAGATGCATAGCCCCTCCTGTGAATTCTGGCTCTGCCCCAGGGCCTCTTCCCAGTGTGGGACATACCTGAAAAACTTTAAAGGGAGGCTCCTGATCAGATGAACCACCTCAACTGACTCCTTTCGATGTGGAGGAGCAGCYGCTCTACTCCGAGCTCCCCCCAGATGATGGAGCTCCTCCCCCTATCTCTGAGGCTGAGCCCGGCCACCCTATGAAGGAAGCTCATTCCAGATGTTTGTATCCAGGATCTGGTTCTTTCAATCATGATCCACCCCTCATGACCACAGGTGAGGGATGGAACGAAGACAGACCAGTAAATCCAGCCTCTTAACTCAGCTATGACTTGACAGAGTCCAACCCTCAATGAGAACAAGCTCGACTTTGTGCCAAGAATGTGAACCCAAAATGATTGTAACTATAAGTGGGAGGAAGGACTCAGTGGATATTACTGGCTCTGGACAGGCTATAAATTCAGTTGGTTGGAAGGTGGGGAGCATTTTTATTTATGCTCTATGAGCCCCTCTGGGGATAAACGCTTTTGATTGAAACTATTTAGGAATAAAATTATACCAAGAACAGAGCTTGTGCTTGTAAAACTGATCCAGGCTACAATGATCCAACAAGGCTTGGTCAAGCCCAGTTTTATTTTCTTCTGGATCACTTCTGCTTTATTAAAACATCCTTCAGTCCCCCCATCAGTGAGAACAGACTGTAGAAGCAGCAGAGAGGAAAGTTTTCACAGAACTGAACCACTGAAGAGAAGCGATGGTCCAGAACTCATGTTAAATGTTTTTCAGTGTCATATGAGAGACTCAGATCTGTACTAACCTCCAACATTCTGCAGGTACACACTGAATGTGCTTGAAGACCTGGGACACGGAGAGGTTGCTGGTGATGATTTGATCATTTCATGGGTCAACAAGACTTTAAGTGGAGCCGGCAAGAGTTCTTCCATCAAAAGCTTTAAGGCAAGTGACTTCATCAGCTCGCCTCACAGTCTGATGCAGTTTGGTTTTTTGGGCTAATGTGGGACATGTTTTTTGTTTAGGACAAGACGATCAGCACCAGTCTTCCAGTTCTGGACCTGATCGACGCCATTCAGCCGCAGAGCGTGAACTTTGACCTGGTTAAAAGAAACGACATCACAGATGAAGACAAACTGGACAACGCAAAGTAATCCCTCATTAAACACGCCAACATCCCTAACTTTCTTTATAAAACCTCATTTAGATCCTGTTTTATGATAATTGAAGGTTAGAAAATGTCATCATGTATATATGTGAGCTGTATGAGACACACAAAAGGAACAAAGATACCTGTGGGCCAGTTGACATGACCCGTACAATAAAATCACTGCTTACATGACCCGGGGTACAGTAAGCTCCAACAAACCAGACAGCTAGATTTAGGGGTGTCCCAATACCAGTTTTTCTCAAACTGAGGGAGTATTTCAGATTGGGTACTCGCCAATACCAAGTACTTACTGAGGTAAAACCTGAATGTTACACAATTTATTAAAAAACATTTATTTTATTTGGAACAAGGTGACTGTTCTAAATGGCCGTTCTGATCACCAGTTGGTCGATTGCTGACAACTGGCTTGATTGACAGGCTGCTTCATGTTAGTAAGGTCACTATGTTAACCACACACCTGTCTGTCACCTGACAGCACTCTTAATAAAACAGATAAAAATACCGTGGTCCTAAAACCACTGATCTGTCAACACATTCTCACTCCTGACTCGTCACACACTAGCTGTGTTTCCATTCACCACGAAAATCAGCAAATTAGAATTTCAAAAATAAATTTGCTCAATGGAAACACGTTGTAATGTCCATGTCTGTCTTATGTGACACAATGAGGGTGCAGCTCGTGGTGCTTCAAACGTCGTCTTTATCATCTGATATTGAACAAAAGCCCAGTCCCCAAACAGTACCCAGAATCCTTAGCYCACAGTACTTATTTTCAACATACATTACATCTCCCCTCCTTAAAAGGATCTTCATGTAAGTGAAGGGTACATACTCATTTAACACACTCTTATTTTCTTTCCACCTCCACCTTAAAACACAAGACAAAAAATCCCACAGTACCCAGTGAACAAATTACAAAATTAAAGTCACATCATTTTATCACTGTATATAACCCACCACCAAACAGTCTTTGCAGAAAACTTCTGCACTCTCATAATAAACATCCTGCATTCAGTTGCTACAGGTTAAGTTTAGCTGCTGGTTTACTCACTCTGCCAGAGTGAGTAACTGTAGGCCTGTCGACACAAGTGTCCTGTATGACAGAACCCGGTGACACTGATTCTTTGGTTCCTCCGATGTCTGTGTCCTCCTTTGAAACCGTAATGTCAGGATTCCTGTTGGCTTGACATGCTGTTAGTGGAAGTTGCCAGCAGATGTTGTTGGTTCCTTCTGTACTGGTGTCCTTGTGCTGTTTCCACAACATAAGATCTCGGTGTGGAGCTCATGCCTTTCACTGTGGCAGCGTTTGTCCACTGTTTCTGTCCATCCAGTTTGATGAGCACAGAGTCCCCTGCACCCAGTGGTGGTAAATTCTGCACTCCGTTGCGGCGGTTGTAAAAATATGCCTGCTTTTGTTTTTCTGCTTCGTTAGTTTGCTGAATTTTGTCCATGTCGGGCCATCCTGGGTTTAGATTGTCCTCAAGGGTAGGTAGTGTGGTTCTGATTTTCCTACCCATCAYTAYTTCAGCTGGACTGGCCCCAGTAGAAGTGTTGGGTGTGGCTCTGTATGACATCAGAGCTAGGAGGGGGTCTTCCTGTCGTAGGATGCTCTTAGCGATCTGGACAGCCCTCTCTGCGTGGCCGTTACTTTGCGGAAAGTGGGGGCTGGATGTAACGTGTGTGAAGTCGTAGGCTGTACTGAGCTCCTTCATCTCTGTAGAAGCTGACTGTGGGCCGTTATCACTCACCAACACCTCGGGAATACCATAACGTGCAAAAATCGCCTTTAGCCTGATGACAACTTGGCTGCTTGTAATGGTAGGTAGGTATAAAATCTCTATAAACCTAGAAAAGTAATCAGATATGACCAGATAACTCTGCTTCTTGAACTCACACAGGTCTACTGCTACTTTCTGCCATGGCCTAGATGGTAGCTCTGTTGGAAGTAAAGGCTCTTTCCTTTGTGTGCTCCTGTTTTCTGTGCAAAGTGAGCACTGTTTCGCTTTATTGATTATGTCCTGTCTCATTCTGGGCCACCAAACTGACTGAAGTGCCCTCTCTCTACACTTACTTAATCCTTGGTGCCCGTCCTGAATCCTTTCTAGAACCACCTCTCTCATGCTCAAAGGAATAACTATACAACTTCCTCTCACTACCAAGCCATCTAGTTCAGACAACTCTCCTCTAACCTGGTACAAGTCTCTCACTGGTTCTGGGACTTTGTCAAGATACTCGGGCCAGCCTGATCTAATAAAGTTGCACATGATCTGGAGCTGTGGATCACTAGCTGAACTGTTTTTTATCTCAGTGATCCTCTGAGATGTGGCTGGCACCTGGCTCATAACAGCATCTATGTGTGCTGCCACTTCACCTTGCAACTGATTGTCACCGTAGCGCTGCTCTGGACCTCTGGATAAAGCGTCTGCCACTGCTAAGGTTTAGCCTGGTGCGTATTCTGCCTCTGTGCTGAACCTCATAAGCCTCATCAACAGTCTCTGACATCTCACAGGGACGCTGTCCAAGTCCTTACTGTTGAAAAGGGGCACTAGTGGTTTGTGGTTGGTAATAAGTCTGAAGTTATTGAGTCCAAACAGATATTTGTCAAATCTTTCACATGTCCAGACGCTAGCTAAACACTTTTTCAATTTAGGCGTARCTCATCTCGGTATCGCTCAGTCTCCTGGATGCGTAGGCTACAGGTTTCCACTGGTCTCCGTGTTGCTGGAGGAGGACAGCACCCAGTCCGTAGCTGCTAGCATCTGCTGACGGCTGTTGGTTTACTGGTGTCATAGAAAACCAGAACTGGAGCTGCAGTTGGCAAGTCGTTGAGCTTTTGAAAAGCTTCTTGTTGTGCTTGCTCCTACAACCACTCTGTGTTGTTTTTCAGCAGAGCTTAGAGTGGTTTACCCACCGTGGATAGTTCTGGAACATACTTGGCCAGATAGTTTGTCATTCCTAGGAATCTTTTTAATTCTGGGACGTTGTTTGGCTGAGGAAAGTTTACTATGCCTGCTACTTTCTCTGGGTCGGGCCGGACTCCTTCCTTGTTGATAACTTGACCCAGAAAGCAAATCTGGTCTTGATGGAACTTGCACTTGCGTTCATTTAGTTTGAGGCCTGCCACCTCGATGACTTTCAGGGCTTTATTTAAACGTTGGTCATGAATCTCTTTGGTTTCTCCGTGAATGAGGATATCATCCATATTCACCTTTGTCCCTTCTAGTCCTTCCAGGATCTCGGCCATCTTCCTTTGAAAAATCTCTGGTGCACTTGTGATCCCAAACGGGAGGCGTCTAAAAGCATACCTCCCGAATGGAGTAATGAATGTGGTGAGCTTTATACTGTCCTCGTGCAGCGGTACTTGGTAGAATCCGCTGGCTGAGTCCAGTAAAGTAAACACTTTTGACCCTGCAAGTCTAGGAAGAATTTCCTCAACTGTAGGCAGCACATAACTGCTCTGTTAAGCCTACGGAGGTCAGCACAGCATCGAACCTCCTGCCTGTTGGGTTTGAGGACTGGCACCATGGCTGTACACCATTCAGTCGGCTGAGTCAACTTTTCCATGATGCCTTCATTTTCCATCCTCTGCAGCTCTTTCTTTACGAGTGGGATGAGTGTTAAGGGTCTCCTCCTTGCCGTGTGTACGGCGAATGGCTGGGCATCATTCTGCAGGATGATTCTCTCTGGTTCTGTTTTGAGTAGTCCTCCTGACCTGAAAACACCAGTGAGTTCATCCACTCTTTTTACCAGGCCCATGTTTACAGCTTCATTACGACCCAGAAGACAGCTGACTTTTCCTCTAATAACATAGATTTTGAATGAGTAGTCCATCTGTTTGTACTTTGTCTTTGCCTGAAACGACCCCATTCAGGAGAGGTCCCCCCTGGTCCCACTAAGCTGGTGTCTGGTGGGTTGAGCTTGATTTCAGACTTCATCCTCTCAAATGTCTGTAAGTTACTAACTGTAGCGTCTGCGCCAGTGTCTATCTTGAGAGTAATTGGGATGCTGCTCACCTCCAGGTTAATGGACCAGTCTTCCTGGCTGCTGGTCTTTCCTCCAATCTCACCCAGAAAATAAGGCTGCTTCTCCTCCTCAGTGATTTCTCTCACTTGTTTTGAGCGACATGCACACTCCCAGTGTCCCTGCCTGTGACACTTATTACACTTGCTCGTGAGTGCAGGACATTTTGCTTTCTCTGTGTGCTTCGGCTTACCACATCTCCCACAACTCTCTGGTTTCTGTCCCGTCTGGTGTCTATTACCACTTTTCCACTGTCTGTGTCTTCTGCTGCCGTCTGTCTGTGGGCCACTACGACGTTGTAGCATATCCACGTGAGCTTCTTGCGGGTTAGTCTGGAGGCTGACCGGCTTGGTAATCTCCTCCGCCTGTCGTGCTTGTTCTGTAACTTCTGCTAGTGTTAGGTCTGCTTTGAGTTGAAATCTGRGAGACATTTCTTTGTCCTTGATGCCCACAACTAAGCGGTCTCTGATGTGCTCGTCTCGTTTATCTCCGAACTCGCAGTGCTCTGCTAACTCGTGTAGCACTCGTATATACTGCTCTGCTGTCTCCCCAGGCATCTGGCTGCGCTGATAAAAACATGCCTGCTCATGTATGCGYCAGGGAATGAAATAATCATCAAACTTTTTGAGAACAGCGTCGAAGTTCTTCTTTTCCTCCTCATTGGCGAAATTGAATGAGCTAAATATCTTTTCAGCTTCACTCCCCATAGCATATATAAGCGAACTCACTTGTGTTTCCCCGTTGTCCTTGTTAGCTTCGTAGCTAACCGGTAGCGCGAAAATCTTTGTCTCCACTCAGGCCAGTCGGCGGGGCGGTCAAACTTGAATTCACTCGGTGGATTAAACTTCACCATGACGATATGCTTCCTCTAGGTGCGAGAAAACTTCTTCTTCTGACACCATTTAATGTCCATATCTGTCTTATGTGACACAGTGAGGATGCAGCTCGTGGTGCTTCAAACGTCGTCTTTATTATGATATTGAACAAAAGCCCAGTCCCCAAACAGTACCCAGAATCCTTAGCGTGCACTTCTCTTAAAGTGACAGTACTTATTTTCAACATACATTACATACGTCAATTTCGAAAAAAAAACGTACGTTTTTCGACAAAATATTTTTGCGCTAGGATGAGGTGGTTTTTCGGCCGTATCAAAATTGGTGTGTTTCACAAAACTGCAATGGAAACACTTTTTTAA